CCCATAAAGCTATTTTACTCCCTCTTCAATCCAGTGATATAGACCTGTTCAGAGCTGAGCTTTGGCAGACTGGGATCAGATCACAGAAACTTTTCAAGCCAAATGATCAGTTACAATAATACCCACTCATAGATGAAATAATTGTGGAAAGGTCTTAGTAGTGCAGTTAAAACTGTCATACAGAGAAAGAGTCCTTTCTAGTATCTATTCATTTGCTGTGGTAGTATGCTCAGTGTCCCTCTGGTTCTCAGAGTTGACATTCTCAGATTTTTATCTCACTTCCTTTGTCTCTCCATCAAGATGGGCTTAAAAACATAGAAATCATGATTTCAAATGCATGTATGATCCATTTATTATGTAAACAACTAATGGAAAAATAGGGAAAAAATACATTAACCAAGCAAACACTGCAGAAGAAATTGGCTTTAATCACAAGTAATTGTGTAGTAGCACGACTCAGCTATGCCCAGAAGTTGACCACTGATACAGCAGTAAGCAAATGGTTGACAGGCTGRGAAGATCCACAGACTGCACWGAGGTTCTGAGTTAYCAGGAAAAGAGGGGTACTACTGCTGTGACAGTTTCCTACTCTTGTCAGTGCAGCTCTGCCMTATGAAGGCTCCTTCATAAAGCTGTTTATGTCTGCTGTCAATGTGATATATCCTAGCACGTTTGTTTTAAGACAATATGGATAGATAACTGAGTCTCCATCAATCTGCCTTCTCTCCTCCAGCTATAGTAATAAATGGCTCCTGCCTGGCCTGAACCCCCARAGCAGAGTCTGTTTTTATTCTGCAACATCTGTTAGTCATCTGCGATGAGAGCACAGAGCAATATAAAGTTTTGGGTTTTTTTTTTTTTTGCAGACTTCTGGGTTTATATGTAGCATATTATTATTTGTGATACCCATCTTGGTTATTAATTCCCTGTTCTYTATTATTTAGGGCAAGTGATAGAAATTGTTTGTATGTGCGAAGTCTGTCTTCTCCTTGTGGTTTAACCTTCAGAGGTTATAAAGCATTGTTAACAACAGGCCATATCTAGAAAACAAGCTAGAGAACAAACATCTGTCCAGCTTTCTCAGGAAAAAACATAGTCAAAGGTAAAAAAGACAAATKATGTGGATCTCTTAAGCTTTTTGTAATCCACGTATATGAGGATGCCACAAATTGAAARGGATTAGATAAATCTTCCTTCCACACACCCCACTTARCCTTCATATACCAATCATTTAGCTRAAAGCAGTCTGCAACTATGTGAAAGATGTAAAGTGTGCTGAACTGCAAAATGTAATGTGAGGGATTTCATACCATCAGGGCTTTATCCTCTGCAGCCATGTGTTACAAAACTGTTGTGGGTTAAAATTTTYTCTTTTTGTTTCCTTTCTTGGGGAATTTTTTCTTTCCCATTTTGTTGCTGGGATACACTGATTGGCAGGTCATCCTTTTGATGGGCGGGCAATTAGTGAAGACAATAGGAGCTATGCCCAAGGTCGCCTAAACGATCTTGCTAAGCCCTGGGAGGGGGTATGTGTGTTTGTGTGTGGTGGGGGGTAACTTCACTTCCTTCGCTGCTTCGCAGGGAGAAAGAGKTCTACCTGCTAGCTACTCGGGGGAGAGCTGGCCTGCCCTTTTTCTGCAGAGCCCAGCATCTCCGCTCATTGGGTTCCTGTTTGCTGCACTGTGATCTTCTCCCCTGTGCCTTGCCGGGGACCCACTGAGATTCCAGCTTCAGGGGTGAGCTCTGCTCCATCCCATCTCACAGCCGCGAGATTCTGCTTGTCTTTTTGCCGTCCTGGGGTTTCTCGCTGTCCAGAGGAGCACCGAGATCGATGTTTCTGCTGTGAGTTCTGCAGAGAAACTTTTCTCCATCCATCTCTGCCATTTTGTGTCCATCATTGTCAACGTGGGAGATCTGAGCCAGCCGGGACCCACGCCACAGCGCCCCCTGCAGCCGCCGGGGAATCATCACACCCGCCCTGCCCGGCCGGGAGCCAACAGCGCCCCTGCCGACTGGGACTGTAACTGCACCAAAGTGGGGGCTGTGTCTCTGTAAGGCAGTCACTGGGTTTGGGACTGGGCTGGCTGTTGCTATGGTTGTTGTTACTTGTTTCACCTTGTTATACATATTAGTAAAAACTGCTATTCCCTTTTACCCATATTCTTGCCTGAAAGCCCGTGATTTTTTCAAAGCTATAATAATTTGGAAGGGGGGTCATATCCACCACTCCAAGAGGGGTCCCTGCCTTCATTGGCAAACACCTGTCTTTCAAACCAAGACAAAAACAAAAGTTTGTGGAACAATATTTAATGAAAAAGTTGAAGTTAATTCCTTTAAGTAGAAACTGTTGTCCAAGTCTGAAACTAAGACTTGACCTAGAGGCACCTAAACTCTATCAGGAGTTTGAAAAGCAAGAGGGTGTACTCTTAACTTTGTGACACAATAGGGGAGTCTTCCTTACTCATTTTTGTTTTGATACCTATAGTTTATGTCAAAGTGACAAAGTGCTTATGGGGCCTATTGATTGAAAATTTTCTATAACTTTTTTATACATTATCAATATAAGAATGTAGTAACTTTTTATATGTTATCAATATACAATGTAATAGCTTTCAATATATTATCAATAATAGCMTTTTCATATAYTGTTATAAGTTTTTATRTGGGGTATTATTTATATTAGTGTATCAGCTGGATGTAATCCAGCCAGCTGGATTAGTACATAGACACGTAAAATCACCAAGGGGCATAAATCAGAAAAAGTTCTGAAGAAAGTAGACAGGTTGATGCTATAACAAGGAACAGTAGAGAGCATTAATGAGAACTTGGCAGAAGCACAAGACAGTCAGCAAAATAATGGAAAATGAAGACTTGGAGGACTAGGAAAAAACATGAACATCACAACTGCACATGCCCTGAAGATGAAGGTGAAAAGTCCACCATGATGAAGACAATGGTGTCTCATTAGAGGGAGACCCCCACAACCACCGAWTTGAGGATGACACAYGTGTACTTGCAAAMCTGTGATATCGTGTATTTCCGTGCCCATATATAGTGATGGGCGTATGGTGGGCATATGAGGGCATAGTGACAAAGGTAATGTTACACCATGCTTACTGCATAAATACCTGCCAATTCTAAGCAAAGGCAGGTGGGTTAGGAGGAGAAATCCACCTCACCTCCAGCGCTACACCAGCGCTGCAATAAACAAATACCTGCTCTATAGACACYGGTCYATGGGGTTTTATTTCTAGGCCWTTTTTGGGCATCAGTCTTTRGTCTCTGTGACAATCATTCTAAAATTATTCTTATTCTATTTTTCTTCATATGTTTCATCCATGGTAGAGTGAAACTTTATGTCACACTTTTAGAAATGTATATTTACTTGAAAATGTAATTAATATTAAAAAAAAAAGGTATTTTGCTAATACCTTTGATGATGATTCTTCGAGTGACCCTAAACCACACATATRTGACAAATTGGCATAGTTAGCAGGGTCCTAGATCAGAACTTTTGACACCCTGCTGCACTGGTTTCTCTAGGAAAATCTTCAGCTTTTTTCTACAAAATTTAGAAGGCCTGAGAGCAATACAACCAGAGAATAACCTCTCCAGAAGCTATTGCTGTCTCTGTCAATATACAGACCCAAGGTTGTTTCATTTTCTTCATAATGACTGTATTGAAAGAGAGCATCARCACATGTGAACAGCATCCCAAAAATATTTCAAAATCAAATACAAGAGAGGCAGTTTAGCTGATCCGGGGAATTTGCAGTGTGACAAAAGAAGACCAGATAATCCTGACAGAGCAAAAAGAACAACACTAGAAAAGTGTTTCTAGGAATGCTGTAGTTTTGAAGGACTGCAAGGAACCAAAATCATAAAGGCAAAAGACACCATCTTCTGTAGGAAACACACACGCTGCACAGTGACAGGCAAAGCAAAGTTCTTCACTTTGTATTTCCTTGGACTATTCCAACCTTTACCTAAACCCCTGTGCACCTTGCACTAAGCTGGGAGCCTGAGMACATGACGTGCTCTATCAGACAGAGAATGTCTTTCTCAAAACACTTTCGATTGCCCAGCCCTTTCTGGCTGGTCTGGCTAACCACAGGGCCCGTGGAAACGCCCGTCAGAGAGCTCTGTTCGCTCCACTTTCCTGCAGGACTGTTGCTTTCCTTCCCGACCACCGCGTCATGTGCGGGCAGTGTCGAGGCTTGGCCTCTGCCAGGGGCTAATGGTGTCTGTTGCAAGGGCCTTCCTGGATTTAAAGACGAAAATTCCTCGAGACATCGGCGCTGGGACCCAYACAGATGAATTCTCACATATGTTCAGAGGATGCCGAGACGTTTTACTTACAGCTAAGCTTTTCAACGCGGGTTGGGAGGACCGCTAGTGCAGCGGAAGGAACTCTGTCAGGGCCCGCCTGTGACAAACCCTGCCCACCCCTGTTGTGCATCCGGGGAGCGGCTGCAATGGCCGCTGCCTGCGCGGAGTTGGTCGATGGGAGGCCTCTCACTCTCTAAACTTCTGTGGCAGCGGGCGAGGGGGCCGGGAGGACACGCACCGCCATGCGATTTCGGGCTAAAATCGTGGATCTCGCTTGCCTCAACCACTTCAGCCGTGAGTATTCCGGGGCAGGCAGTGCCTCTGAGCGGCTGGGGCTGGCTTTCCCGGGCTAAGGAGAGAGRAAGAGGGAGGTGAGGACCGGAGGCYTTTCGTGGGAGGAGGTAGCGTGAGGCGCTCTCCTTCGCCCCGAGGTGTTCAGGAGTTTGCGCAGCAACCTGAGCTGCGTTTTTGGAGCCTGAAGGTTTTTTCCCTGTCCTGCAGAGACCGGGGTGGCTGGAGCCATCACCGCTGTAACGTCCCCATCTCTCTCTCTCTCCCTCCGGCAGGTATAATTAACACAATCGCCAAGTTAGCCAAGACCTGTATCCTGCGCCTTACTGTCTGCAAGCTGTATTTCATCCTCTCCGATAAAGTAGCAAATGGAGGCGCCAGTATGTGGTGTGAGCTGTGCCAGGTGAGCCCAGGGAAGTTCATTAACCATATGTTGTTGAAAACCAGAGCATGCAGTTTGGTTTCAGGTACGAGTCGTTTCTTGTAGCCCTCACCTGAGATGTGCCAGGTCTGTCAAGGTTTGGTTGTACAGGTGTTTCAGGCTGGATATTCCCTTTTCCTTGGTTATCACTTTAGTGTAACGCTTCAGTGTCTGCTGATCTGTGGGCCTGCTCAGAACTGGAAATGGAAAAGCATAATGCATTCTTTTATGGGCTGTTTAGGTGCTGGGGAAGAAATGACTAGGTTTTATTCTGAAGCAATGAGCCTTCATGCTTATGCAGCCTGTTTTGATTCCTCAGGTGATGGCAAGCAGAGGAAAGTTTCTGTTGTACACATGCAGTTCTAAACTTAAGGTCTGATAAATAAAACTTGCCCCTCTTGTTTGCTTTATTTCCCAATGTTCAAAAATTGTAGGGGAATTTCTTCGATGAATATCAGATGGAAGGAGTAGCTGCAGAGCACAATGAAATCTATTTAGAGTTGGTGCCTGAGAACCTGTCGAGAGCATTAAAAACTGCCCAGAATGCTAAGGCAGTGAAGATCAAGTTGACTAATAAACACTGTCCCTGTCTCAGAGTTGCTGTGGAGCTAGTAAGTACAACTATGCTTTCATRTTCATTATTAAGAAAAAGTTCTTAAAAATTTAGTACTTTTCCTAAGATCAAAGGGTAGTCTTTGGTTTAATTGTAGAAAATTAAAGAAACGTGGCCATTTTCCATTTCACTAGGCTTTCTTGCCATCATGGTTGGTAGCACACAGAACCAGCTTTGTCTTTTCCAAAAGGCAAGGAGGAGGTGGAGGAAGAAACAAGGTTATGTTATTGAAACAACTTTTTSTAACATCTTCTTTTCTCCATTCCTTCATTCTCTGTATCTTCTGTGGATTATTGCCATTCATTGAAGCCATTAGGTGAAGGAGTTTTCAGTGTACTGTTTGGCTCTGTGTTTTGCCTTTGGTTTTCCTGATATTGTATGCTGACTTCTGATTCTTCTTGTTGTTAACTCCACTGATTTATCTCTTCAACTCTACGAATAGCTTATAGATACACTAATGACTCATACCTTACAAAATCTTCCTCATTCAAAAGGGATGCCCACTTAAAGCATATTGATAGGAACCTAGGGGAAACGAGAACTGAGTGTCTGTGGCATGTAGTTATAGCATTTCCCAGAGTGGATCTGAAAAATTTAAATTTAGAATTCCAGTATTGTTTTTAATTGCATTAAAAGAGCATCCTCTTTTTCCCTCAAGCCATCCTTATCAAGCAGCAGTAGGATTGTGACACATGATATTCCCGTGGGAGTTATTCCCAGAAGAATGTGGAATGACTTCAGAGAGCCCAGTGTGCCAGATTTTGATGTAAGCCTCTGTTTTTACATTCTGTACTGAAAGGGGTGATTGCAAATGGGATGGTATAGCTACAGAGTATACTACTAGTGGTGTTTGGAAAGGAGTTGAAAGGAAAGAGGAAAGACTGGAGGCTACAGTTTTGGAGGGGTATGGAACATGGCTTCTATCTAGACAAGAGAGTTCAGAACTATGAAAACAGACTGGGTGATCGCCAGTAGTTTCTGTGATGTTCATGGTGGAGGAAGGGAGGAGAAAAGGACTTGCATGACTTTAATCTGAAGCACCTATAACCACACAGGTTTAGACTGTTTCAGCTGTTTAGGTGCCAAATGGCCCAAATAATCTGTTCTTTCTGAAATGCMTGGCCTGTCTGGCAGAGTTAAACATGTATGTGTTTTCTCCTGATTTTTATATATCCTCTTAGTATCCTTTTTGATATTTAGCAGAGTTGCAAGCAAAGGTCCTTGTGCAAATGTGCTCCTGTTTGAGTTTATGGATGTCTATTATCTTTATAGCTAAGAGTATTTAAATTCTGAAGAAGAAACTTGAACTATTTTGTTTTGTTATTTCAAATTTTCACTGCTGCAGTTCCAGAAATACTGCAGTATCATGGGAATCTTCTCCTTTCTTTTATGGCTACAGTAATTAACTACTTAGTAACACATGTAGGTTCATCTGAGAGTCTGATGTGCAAAAACAGGCCACTACTTTATTTTGAGCACAGACTTGGAATCTTGTCTATAACAATTGCTAGAATGATGGCCTGTTAATATATGTGAAAGAGTTCCTCTGTTCCTGAGACATTTGCTGATTGCAGATAGGTATTGTGCACCCTGCAAGCCATAGATAATTCAGTCCAAACTAGGAATTGAAAGTGTGTCCCAATCACATCTGAAGTACTTGTGCAAATGCAGTTCTTATGTTTTTCTAGGTCAGTATTTATTTACCAGTGCTGAAAACAATGAAGAGTGTTGTGGAAAGAATGAAGAATCTTAGCAATTTTATTGTAAGTTAAGGTACTTCAAGCATRTACACATTGTTTCATCAGGGGCATAACATGTTGCCCTGTTGCCTAAACTGGTGCGGCCACATTATCTTATTTTGCGATGAGAATGATGGGATTTATTTTAGGTTTTACACTGAAGARCTTTTCCTCAGCTTCTCAGAAAATGATACTCTTTGTGTTGAGTCTGTGAGAGAACATGGCATTGTGTTGCTATAAGCCGCTCTTTATAGCTGGTAAGAAACTACAGGGGGCTAGCTGGAGCCTTTCCAGGTGATTTCACTGAGGAAATGCCTATTACGTGAGCGTCGTGTTAGGTATCTGTGAATGAACCTTAGGTAATCTTGATGCAGGATTTAAAGGAAATTCTGCCTATAGCCCTGGGATGTCAGACTGTGCTTTAGACTCTGACATGTTGGGTTTGCAGTCTACCCTAGGTTTCTGGATGGCTGATGAGTCTTTTAATTGAAAGAAGCCCTCTGCAGGTTCAACAGAAAATGGCTTTGATATTTTAATTTACTTGKTTTTGCTTTCAGTCACCAGAATTGACTGACATGAAAGTCAATAAGTAAGTGGAGAGCTTTGGAATAGTTTGGGTTTGATGCTGTTCATACCAGTTTTGATAAATAGGAAATTTTCTGTTAACTGAGAATCCCAAAATTGGAACAGGCTCAATTTTTCAAGACTTGGAAGAGTTGAGTGATTACCYTAGGTTTCTGGCAGTTTTGCAAATGGCAGTTATTCTGCAAATGCACATCAAACTCTTTTTTTTGGTCAGATTTTTTGGGCGCTTTGTTTTTGCCTTCTTTCCTTCCCCCATGTCCTTGTTGGATATGCTTACACAAAATTAAGCTTTTATTTCTAGAGCTGAGCATCTTTTCTCACACAGGATAGCTTTATGATGGGATTGAACTTTACTAAGTGCCTTGCTTTCATGCTGTTAAAGAACAAAAGATCAAGTGTCACAATTTTTTTTTTTTTTTTGATAAATGCATCCTGGTAATAAAACTAGTGAAGGTGAGTGCTGCAAAATGGGCTTAGAAGAAATTTCTGATAGTACTTGTCCATTGTTTGGGAGCTTGGCATCTTCATTCCATACAAGATACTGCAATACAAGTATTTTTTTTAAATTACTAAAAATTCATCTAATCACAAAAATGAAGTGCTTAGTTGTGCTTTAGGAATCCTCTGATCAGCTTGGGATTTGTGTAGGACCATATATAGTCTCGTTAGAATTCTTCCTTCCAGGTTTCAGGATGGAATTTGAAAGGTTTTGGCACTCTCTCAGGATTTCTGTTAGTTCAAAATCCTTCTTGGAGTTACTAATCTGATGCAGCTGCTTGGTGCATCCCATTTTCTATGTGTGTCATATAGACTGTGTAGGTGACTTTTTATTTATTGAATAACTTAATGGAAGTTCAGGAATTTTTGCATTTTTCCAGCTTCAGTCTCTTATTCCTGAAGCTTTTTTCTCAGCACATGAGCTTCCCAAAGCTAATATTTGTTCTTAAAGTACTGGAGAGCAATTCAATTCTTTTCTTTCCACATTTTCTGAAAGTTTGGTCTGGGTAATTCACATAGGAATGATGGGAAATGTATTTTGATGTAGCTGAACATTCGAATGTTCAAACCATATTCAGAAAGTATGGTTGATCTTCACTGAAGTACTTTTGAAAGCTTGTATTTGAAAAAAACAGAACTGTATTCTTCTATAAATCTGCAGCGTGAAAGTTGGTTGCCTAAAATTGAGATTGATTGCAGGTGATTGAAGCAAACTTGAGTGGAGAAATGAACTTGAAAATAGAAACTGACTTAGTATCTGTAACAACACATTTTAAAGACCTGGGAAATCCTYCCTGGGGTAAGTTTTCCTGTTCTTACGCTTGTGTCTGTGTGATCCCGTTACCTAAAGTGTGTTGCTTATAACAGTATTTTCATTTTATTCTTTAGAAAATAGCATCAAGTATTTTGAAGTCTTCAAATGAAATCTTAAAAGTGGCCAATGACTTGGCTGTTTCATGTTTTGGGGGTGGTGGTGGGGAATCTCTTCCATTATTCTTGACAGCTTGATAGGACAACTGGGATTTCTTTTTCTTGCACTGTTGTTTCTCAAAAACAAGCCATTTCGGCAGTTTTCAGGTATGTCCTTATGGGTGTTGAAACTACTTCTTATGTTTGGACTAAGTGTTGTGTCCTTATGCTTGTAGCATCAGAGGATGGATGTCAAAGTTCTGCTCAAGGCAGAGATCTGGAAAGTATGGCTGAGGTATGCRTAGACATCAAGAAGCTGCAGCAGCTGCTTGCTGGACAGCAGGTCAATCCTACAAAAGCATTGTGCAGTAAGTTCAGTAGCTCTGCTTGCATTTAAGTAGGGATGTTTGCCATACTTAGTCTCAGCAGAATACCTTATCTTCTGTTTTGTCTGTCTGGAACTCAACTATTTTTACTGTACCCAAGGATTTCTAATACTTACATTTCTAGGCAGTAAGATTCAGGTCCTCGGCATTTGGAGAAGAAAAAATAAGTCAGACACTTAGAAGTATCAGGCTGAATACTCAGACTCATTAGTCATGCATGTTGTCTTGTTGTCTTTGTTTTAAAGTTGTTACTAATTTTTATTATTATTTTGAGATACTATCTTTTGAAAGTCTTAAAGCCTCTAGCTTCTAGCAGAGAAATTGGAATTTACTGGCATGTTTTTTTGGTTTGTTTTTTTTTTTCCTCTTTGRATGCTTTCTTACACTGATTCTAATACTAAAATGCATTTTATGCATCTAATGTTTCTAGCTGTAGAAACAATATTTCCCTTCTAGCAGAAGCCTGTGGGTTTATATCCTATTTTTATAACTGTGTGCTTTACTTGAGAACATCTGTTTGTTGTGGTTTAGTGCAGATGCTAAGAATTTCCCAAGGAAGATGTAAATAATAGGTATAGCRTTTTAAAACTGCACACTATATATTTACTTTTCCATGTCAGCGTTCATAGACTATTAATGCTTCACAGACCCTCAAGGATTTAAGTTGTTTAGCTGTCCTTCTGTCAGAAGTGCTAGAAGCATTGTGTTCTTATGGTGGCACCTTTAAAATATGTAATTTTTAAGTATTTTTCCTTCTTTAAGCTGGATTTACWTTTTTTTTTTCTCTTTACAGATATTGTATGTAAAAGAGTTGTCCATTTCATCTTGCTCCATGAGGAGGTTTCACTTCAGTATTTTATTCCAGCAATTGCCTGAGTGTTTGGAATCTTCGTCTTTTTCCAACCTGAGGCCTCTTTCATGAAGTCTGAAATCTTTTCTGAGTTGCTGGAGTATTTTGATSTGAGACACTGTTAGATGCAGCCATCAGATGGACATTGTTTCAATATTTATGAAAGTATTCAAAATACCTCCTCTTCCAGAAAGCCGTTTTTGTGAACAGTTATATGCTATGAAAGACACAATGCTTGAGAGTGTTGGTGTATCTTAGTCTTAGGAGGAGCAAAACTGAAATTTCAGTGCGCTTTTGGGACGTTTTGAGCTGTGGGTAAAGGCAATGAAGTGTTTCAGTCTCCTCAAAAAACTAAAGGTATAACTCACCTCTGGAGCTGGTGCTGTGTGTATTCAGTATTGAGCAATGCAATCCAAATTGAGGCATCTCTGAGCAAGCTGTCATACCTCCATGAAGCAGGAGAGCCCTCTGGAGGGTTTCCAGATTGATATTTGCCTGGACAACTTTGCATAGCCCACCTGAAGTGGTATGGAATTGAATTCTGTTCCAGTAGAAATCTTCTGACTATACTTGCTACAACATACCTCARTAGCTCTGTTTTTGCTTACTATTTGATTAACTCTTGGCCTGAGAGGATGAGYCTCTTTGTTAATGTGGGCAATGAAAATCCCTGTGAATGAATATTGTATGAGGACATATGGTGAGAAATGAGCAAATGGTGTGAAATAAAGAACAAGTTATCTTGCATAAAATGGATCAGATTTTCTCTCCTTTCCAGATAAAAAAACATGATACAACCTGTGTCGTCATGGTGTTAGACAGAGTGAGGTTGCCTGTGAGGAGCCATTTTAATCTTGGTTTGCCTCAACACTCCTTGTCAGAGGCATGTAGGGGAAGGGGTGCACACATGCAGCCTGCAGGAGGCAAACAGGAGATGGGTGAAGCCTTGTCTCTGGGGGGCTTTTGCCTGGCAACACCTCAGATGGGTACGTGGAGAGACATTTCTCCAATCAGATGGTGGAACGGCTTCACCAATGGAAGAARCTTGGACTGGACCAGTGGTCTCCTGGTCAGCAGGCAGACTTTGGGAGGAGCTAGGGGTTATAAAAAAATCAACTGCACCATGAGCCTTCAGGAGTGAATTCGGGAGTTGAATTCGGGAGCTGAATTTTCAGAGCTGAGTTTTGAGGAGCTGGACTTTGGGGACTTTGCTGAGCTGGAGTTRGGGGTGGTCGTCTGTCTCTGTGCGTGTGGCTGGGTTTTTTTGYTYTTTGTTGCTCRCTGCWGGTGGGCTTGCTGCTGAGGGGTTCTTTTTTCCCCCAGCTCCAGCCTGCCTGGATTTTGCCCTCGCTAGCTCTTATTCGCCCCCACATATCTGCCTTCCCTCCTGGGCACTTGGCAGGACGCCATCTGCCCTCCAAGCCTCCAGTGCAGCGTCAGCCTCGCCCCGCTCCTTCACCTGCCCCAGCCGCCACCTGTCCTGCCTGAGCCACCTGCCCGCCTCCGACCTCGCCCATCACCGTGATGCTTGCTTCGACTCCACCCAGGGTCCCGGACCTGTCTAAGTGTCCACTCACCTGTCTGTCCAGCAGCCTGTGATAAACACATATTATAGTGTTGGCTTTCACAGGGATAAAAAAAATGGATGCTATGTATGGTGCATCATAATATGATGTTGTCTTCCTTGTAGAAGTTTAGTTATGTAACCATGATTGTGAAATAATTACTGTTCTTATTTTCTTTGTAATTCAGATGTAGTTATAGAACACTTTGATTATCTTGTAATAATTATCTTGAAATATTGTAGATTATGATTTMATTATCTTSAAATATTGTAGATTRTGATTTAAACTTTTCCATATAGGATTTTTCTTGCACATTATAGCAAAACTATACAAGAAGCTACRGGGCGACTCATTTAGATTATGAATGGTGCCCTGGCTGCAATTACACTGACCAAAAGATAAGAAAAGGAGAAAGGAATGCATGAGAAAAGGATCRCCTTCCCCAAGGTTATCAACACTGACCTGCTAGAAAAATGCCATCATAGTTGCTTTAGTATGCATATTAGTGTGGGGGAAAAAAGTGGCTCCACAAACCCTGATTCTGAAACTCAGCCAATTATTGTGTATGACTGAATCCTGAGAAAAGAAAGGGAGTGTTAACAGCCTACATGGAGTAGGAATACTGCATCCTTGGCTACTGTTGAGAAAAGGAGATTGGAATGTAGAATTGATAATGCAGGTGGCTGGAAATTATAAACATTACTAATACTGTAGCTTTTGCAAACTCACCAGTCATGTCCCGATTATTAATTAAACAGCTGTCCCTTAACCAGTGTATGTTTGACACAAATGGGAACCCTGGTTGCTAAAGTGGATAAAAGAGGCTTGTCCCACAGTAAACTTTTTCTTTCTCTCTTTTTTTTCACCCTCTTTTTGTGTGTTTTGTAWCTATTCTTTTWTGTCGCTGTTTGGCYAGCAGCGACATATTAGAAAAATATCTGGTCGGAAGAACTTGTAAAAACATCCATTGTTTGCGGCAAAAGGAGTCTGGCTGATGGGACCCCTCAACCTTCAGACAACCATATCTGCAATGGACAGGCCAGAGGTGTTGTGACCCATTAGGGGCCCCTGCTATGGACTTTCCTATTGACAATGACCATCTGCTGAAACTATGGAACAGGGGTCACATGTACACGACCCCAGGGGCCTAAACATCATCACTGCTCATGCTCTAAAAAGGTGGATCCATGTTAAACAGTTCTGGGAGAAGTTTGAATATGCATAAATGTCTATGAATAGGCATTAGGCTGATGCAATATGAAATGTATTTAAAGATGTCTCTTGTCAATAACAGGCGTGCCTCTGGCAGATCGCCAAGCACCTGATGTCGTATCCTTTTGCTTTTATGTACCCTATTATCATTTATTAAAACCCTTTAAATTTTAACAAGRAAGCGAATCTCGTTTTTCACAAGACCATCACCGTGGGAACCGCACTCCTCTCCCTGAGCTGCTCTCCCTCTGGCAGCAGCGCTCACCCCCATCATGTGGATGCTGACGGCACCCCCTGGTCATACTGGTGGTAACGCCTGCTCTCTCCCTCTGTCTCCTTTCTCTCTCTCCCCATTCCTTTTCTATTTTCCTTTCTCTTTTACTGTCTTTTCCAGCCCCCTTTAGTGGGCAACTACTTACTTTTCGTTGCTAATAAATGRTTCTCAGATACAAAGTTTGTCTYGTTTGATTTMATTTTGTTCTCGCCCATCCATTTTCAAAGAACTCCTTGCAGTTCCCCACAGTTGGAACGCRACATTTCCTCTAGGCTCTCTTCCAGGAAGCCAAGAGCATGACTAAATTTCACTCATGGGAGTGCTGCCCCTGCTTCTACCCTGTGGTTGTTTTCTGAAGTCTTTTCCTCCTTATTCCAAGAGTGATTTATTCGTAATCCTGGCATGTTCCATATAGCCTTTGATTATTTTAGAAATAGTGATTGAGTTTATTCTGCCAAATGAGACTGGGAATTTCTTCTAGAAAGTAGCTTGTCATGGTCAGCAGTGCTGGGGTTTCAGTTGGTTTGGGTATTTTTTCCCTTTTTTCAGGAGACACTGATGTTAAGGGAGCAATGAATCTTTTGTTGGTGCCGCAAATAGTCAAGAGAAGGCTGAAGGAGAGGCTGTGGTGGTGAGAAGATAGAATTCTCTTGCAGTGATGAGTGTGTTGACTAACTGTGGTTATAGGCCTTTCTGCCTATTCCCTCTTTGTTCTTTCCTACTCTCCCTTGCCCTGCACATTGCCTCATCAGTTGTCATATTTCCACCCACTGCCTCCAACATGCTGAGATTTGCATCATTATCATTTGCAAAGTCCCATTTTGCCTATGTTGTGAGTTCACCCTGGTAAGCAGACATTCACTCACACGTAGAGGGATGGGGGAGAGAGAACTGGAAGGGTAAAAGTGAAAAAACTCATGGGTTGAGATAAAGACAGTTTAATAGGCAAAGCAGAATATAGAATTCATTCACTACTTCCCATGAGCATAGGTGTTTAACCATTCCCAGGAAAGCAGGGCTCTATCATGCATAATGTTTATTTGGGAAACACAGACTGCATAATTCCAAAAGTCCTTCTCTCTTTTCTTTGAGATGAATGCGGTGCTGTCTGATGTGGATATTCCTCTGGTCAGTTGGGGTCTGCTGTCCCAGCTGTGTCCCTACCAATTTCTTGTATGCTCTCAGCCCATTTGCTGATGGGGCAGTGTGAGAGTAATGCCTTGATGCTGTGTAAGTGCTGCTCATCAACTATAGAAACATTCCTATGTTATCAACACTGTTTTGGTCACAAATCCAGAACACAGCACCATATGAGCAACTATGAAAAGAACTAGTTCTGTCATGGCCAAAACCAATGTAGCCTGCTGTTTCTTGATAGCCCAACAATAAGTGTGAATGACCAGATATTTTTGGTTATTTTTCTTCTGGTTACTGTCTTTGTTAATGCTAATTAATAAGGGTTTATATCTGTGTGTTTGTCTCCTTCATTTTCTTTTTATCATCCAGTATAGGATGGGATCATTTAAACAACCATAGAATAAATATTTTAATGATCTCACATAGATGCCTGACCAAAATGAGTGTGCTAGATATCGCCCAAGAAAGATCTCAGATCACACTGCAGCATGGAAAAGGTGGGGAGGGGGGAGGATTTGCACAACCACAATGCCTCATAAAATACTTCCATCACTTTTGTCTCCCTTACTGTCCCTTCATGTTTTTGGTTTCCTCCTCTTACCCTTTTTTAGTATGATGTGGATACACACTTATAACTTCTTGTTTTTCTTGCTTTTTGGTTACACACTGCATTACTGATCCTTATTTTTATGCTGTATTGGAAAAAGCCTTTGCATATAGTTTGATTTTTTTTAATGTCTCAGCATTTAAAAAAGAATGATATTTTTATTAGAAAATATAAACAATAGAGGGTGCTGAAGAGATATGGAGAAATGTATTACTCTGCATTCCTAAGAAAAAGTGRGTACAAGCAATGGACCACAGTTAGCGCTCATGAGAGGGTGTGATTTTTTTWAATAGTTTTTCATAAATTACAATTCTCAAATGGGCAGGTTGTCAGTTACTAAATGTAAGACTGAAATTATTCCAACACCATGYTATGGAAAAAATATTGTTTTTTCCATAGAGCAAGCATCATGAACGCATCTAGAGTAAGTAGCAAGCACCAGTTCAAATMATTTAGGCACAACTCTTAGGTATGATGCACTCAGATTAGGTGGCTAAATAGTCTGTAATCTGGATGTAAACATCTCTGCTTCAGTTCTTCATATGTAAAACAAGACTCTTTCTCCTATATGGCTGACTGCAAGATGTGGTGAATAAACACGTGAAGGATTTCTAGTGCACGTGGCTTCTCTGATAGAAGCTTAAGTTTAAATTCTAGTCTTCTTTTTAATGCAGGGACATCTTTATGCCAGGGACACAAACTGTTTTAGTGTGTGTGGGCTGGTAGGAAGCTTCAACTTCAGGTAGGAAGTCAACTTCAACTTGGTAGGAAGTTCAACTCTTTGTTATTTAATRATTAATCTTCCACTTTGTGATGTGCTATTCATGACAAGCTGAAGCACAATTTATTGCAGCTCAGTAAAGGAATGTTGGATTTCTCCACTTTTTATACCAGGTCATTGGCTAGTTGATTTTTCTCACACTTAATAGATTTATATTTTATGAACTTGAATGGTTTACTGTCATGTCATTATAATTATGGAAGAAGCCAAATTGGAGATTATTGCCTTCTACAATGSGATAACTGGCTAGATAAATGAAGGGAGAGTGGTGAATGTTGTCAACCTGGGCTTCAGGGAGGCTTTTGACAGTGTCTCCCATGATTTCCTGATAGGCAAGCTCAGGAAGTGTRAGCTGGATGAGTAGATGGTAAGGTGGATTGAGAATGGGCTACATGGTAGGTCTCAGAGAGTTGTGATCAGTGACACAGGATCTATTTGAAAGCCTGTGGTGTCCCCCAGGTGTAAGTACACTTAGGAGTATACTTTGACACTCTAGAAGTGGCCAATACCTCAGAATGTTGTTACGCCRTTCAGAAGAATCTCAACAGGTTAGAGAACTGGTCAGAGAGAAACTTTCCAAAATTTAACAAAGGCAAGAACAGGGTCCTGCACTTGGGAGAAAGAACCCCATGCACCAGTRCAGGCTGGGRCCTGACCTGCTCTGAAGCAGTTCTGTGGAGAAGGAAGTCAT